GCTCCGTCCGCAGGCGCAGCCCCCATCCGCCCCGTCGCTCCAGCCGGGCAGAACTCCTCCGAGTTTTTCTTCTTGGCGGTGGAAGGGCTGAGCAGAGCTCCTGCCTCCGTCTCGTCGGCTTCCCCTAGCAACTCGGGTTTTCTTTTTTTTCCTTCTTGTTGTTAGCGGTGGTGCTGTTGACGGGCGATATTGTCGGTCCTGTTATTTCAGTTGTCTTTCCAGCGCGCTCTTCCCGCCTGGTCCTTTTCTTTCCCGCCGAGCTATAAACTGGTTCCGTCCGAAAGGCCAAAGTGCAGTGTCGGTAGCTAGTATGCCCGTGTATTTCGAGACATTTTCCTTAAGTCTTAAAAATGGCCCGTTCGGTTCCCTGAACTTTTCGTACTCTGACTATGGCAAGTATCATAGATCGGATTTGCATCAAGAGAAGGAGGGCATCTACATCCCATTATACGCATAGGAGCAGAAAGGCATACTGGCGTTAACTCTAAAACAAATTGCCGTCACCCAGATTGTCCTCGGATTTTATTTTTTATTTCCTTTTCTTTAGAATGTAATAGTTTAAAAGTGAAGCATGTTTTTTAAACTAACTGTTTTTATCTCCGGTGTCGTTAAGACGTTATCGTTGCTAGTATCTCCAAATTTCTCGGCGGCGGTACGCACAGGTTCTACACAATTTCTAAATGCCCCTCTTCTTCCCCCAACATAAAAGTGTGAATATTTATAACTGGGTCCACGCAAGGCATAACTTGTGAGGGTTTTTAATACATATATGTAGGCAAGTAGCTAAATACGCTGTTGAACGAGGGTCAGCATCTGAAAACACATCATTTTGTGCTGCAAACCTTTCCTACGAAGACACTTGTAACAGCATGCATTTCCTACTTTTTAACCTTGATTTTGGAAATGCAGTAAAAGTTGACACAGAAGCAATGAGTGATTTACAAGTCGCTTCTTCAAAAGAATTCCCAACAGTGATTACACACACACAAAAATATCATTTCAGCAACAGTAACAAAAGACAGCGGAATAAAGGGAGTGCAGAAAGCCTACTCGGTAGCACATTACGAAAATTACATCGGGCTTCTCTTTGTGTATAAGCTTCGTCTGTGAAATTAAAAATACGTCTTCCTTTTTAACTCTTTGAGAAAGTTAGATTAGTTTCTTCGCGGACATTTTTGAAGAGGTTAATTTTTAAGGCTGACACAAATTTAGCAAGAGTAATACTAAGAATGTATTTCTGGACTAGAAAAAAAGCGAGATTGTAGTAGAAGAAAGGAGAAAAAAAAAAAAAAAAGAAAGAAAACGGCTTTAAATGTTAGCTGTTCAGGAACCGTCCCTTTCCTACTCGCAAAGTATCCTGGTATTTTACTACAGTGTTTTACCATGACGGTGATATTTTGAAAAAAAAATCTGAAATTCTGAGCATTTGTAAATCACGAGCTAAAATATTAAGTTAATATCTAGACAATTTGCGGTAATAATGAGGCCTAATGAGGTTGCTAGAAAGATAAAATGTTATTTACCAAAACACCTGATGGGATAATTTGACTTGCTGTGTTTTACTACCGATGATAAAAAGAATATTGATTGCAAATAAATCACCGTCTCTAAACGCTTGTAAACAATTTGTGTTTGCTCTGCCCAGATCAAAGTAAAACTTATGAGATAAAGTGTCTGCATATCCACAATGTGTGGATCAGTTTTCATTCCAGAGTTTAAAGGCTCTTCTAAGAGTTAGAAGTTAATATTTGATACCAGAATCTTAGTGTATGATTTGGGGGGCGAGAAGGGGGGG